GTTCTCATTTTGGCTGAAATGGACTGCAGTTGCGACCTCGCCTGAGTCTTATCAATACCCCCAGCGAAAGTCGAACCATGACAGTGTAGCAGGGAATCTAGACACATTAGCCAATCCGCCATATTGACACGAATGCCCTTGGGTCATATGGCGGATGTGAATTTCAAGGAAGGCCAGGCATTTTCCCATATTACATTTTTTTGGTGGAATTGTCAACGAAACAAATTTATATTTGTTATAATATGTTTGCATTAGAGTAGATCATCTAAGCAAATATCCTTAAGCAAAAATAACTCAACTTGGACCTCCTTGCTCATCATTATTCGTTTTGAGTGGCCCGCCCTTGCCCTTCAATTGAATCTACAATCCTATTGAGCTAATATACCATCTTCGTAGAAGTTTGTGCAATAGTTAAGCCCAGAATTTAAGCTTGATTTACGGACTGGCCTGCCCATTGAAGAAAAAATCAACTGGCTTAAAATGCCTTGCGAATTGTTTAGGAGACTTTCATTTCGCATGAGAGTGTGTCTGATGAAGAGATTCACAGACCTTATATCACCAGAAAAGACGATGGCTAATTCGCGTTAATACGACCTTCGGGTTGATGCAGTCCACGAGACATCCTCCCTCGTTTCGAGTGAAAACGGGTTTATGAACATCATTAGAGCTGGAAGTCATTCTGGCAAAAGCCTTAAGTTATTAAATACCAAGTAAAGAATGTAAGAAGAATAGTCTTCGAAGCATCCCCGAATAGAATGATGCTGGATTACTTTCCATTTAGTGCGAAGAGGCGAGTGGAAGTGATTCATAAGTTGGCCTCACCGGAAGCCGAATGGGGATTGTTCTGGGACTGTGACTCTAGATCTGGACGAATAAGTCATCAACACACCGCCCCACGACTTGGATGAATCCTAGCTGGGCTTTCATCCGTCATGTGACGGACATCGTCAAGCAGGACACCATATTTCACCAAACACACTGTGGCAATGTGACGATGTTGAGCTCAGTTACATTTCGAGTAAAAGTGTTTGGTGAAGAGATTCCCAAAGTGGATCCCACTAGAAAACGACCAACAGCGGATTCCTCTTGACCAGCTTTCGGTTGGCTGCACAGGAGCATTCTTGTATATTCTGGCCCCGAGGCAATCTCCTTCGATTCCGGTGAAAATGTACTCTGTTACATTCAACGTAACGAGACAAGGAAACGTGACGATATGTCGAAAGATTAGCAAGGCTGCATATGAATTGCCGGACGCTAGCTCGAGTTCTTATTCGCACAAATCTACAGTTAAGGCAATTCCCCTTTGACGTTCGGTGAGACCAACTGAAGATTCCCTTCCGCTCGCATCTTTAAACGGGATGTAAGCTGTGAGCTATATCATTCAATTAAGGTATTATTCGAAGAGCAATTCTCCTACATTCTTAAGTTTAAACCTTTTGCAAAAAAGATTGCCAGTTCTGAGTATGTCTGTCATTTGATGGAGAAAAGCTCAGCCAGTTTCTCCCCCCCAAATGAAGGAGGATGTCTCGTGGACTGCGTCAACTGGAAGGCGAATCAGCCGTCGTCTTCTGGTGAGACCGACTTGCGAATCTCTTCATCAGACACCCTTTCAGACAAAGTAATCTCAGGCGAGTCTTAGAAAAGCCAGTTACTCTTTCTTGTGGAGCCTTACATTTTGGGTACTAATAGAAAAATTCTCTTTTGGAGGGCTTTCACTATTTGCCAAAACTCGGCCTTCCACCAGCAACTTATTCTGTGCGCCAACAGAGGTCTGGCGATTGGCGTGTGCCTGGTCTTCGTTGCATGCATAAAGCGACCCAAACAACGACCAAACCACAAGTAGGAAGGCAAGATAATACACAAAACTTAGGCAAATAAAGATAAGCACACGTGCTCACCAGATGCTGCGACCTCCGTAGGACCGGAATGCTCAGGAGCAAGGCGCTTTTGTGTCTGTTCGAGCCCCTGAATCTGCTCCAACGTAATCGCCTCATCCGACGAGCCAGAATTGAGTGCGCCGAGTCCCGACTCGCTGGCAAAACCACTGGTCGTCAGGTTGGTGGTGTTTGGTGAACCAGCCGTTTGGAGAGGCTGTGTTAAATGTGGCGGCTGTAGAAAGAGGAAATTTGGTCCGGCCGAGCCGCGGCCTACAGCAAGAGAGCGAGAACGAGGCCGATCTATGAGGGCGTCAAGGGTGTCGGGGAAAGGGGAGGCCTCCGAAGTGCAGGAGAATATTTGAGAATGCTTCCAACGCGAGTCCTGAAGTGGACGCAAAGCATTCCAATTAGAATGTTTAGTGGAGTAGAGGTGTTTATTGGCAAGTAAAGCAGTAAAGCAGTAAAGCAGATGAGCCTGACAGAGTACCAGCGTTAAGGAGGAGTTGAGGCAAAGAGAGAAAAGCTAAAGCCGATTGTGGAAATGTGGAGATAGGCTACCTTGTTGCGTAGGTGACTAGGTTTTCGAGACTACCAGTAAACCAGATATATGAGTTGTGCTCACCTTATTTCCTTTAAGGTGATCAAGTACTGGTAGTTACTTTTTCCCACAAGAATGTGAGTAGAGCTGATGTGGCGTAGTGGTCAACGCGTCGAGCTTACACGCTGCACTGTCATGGTTCGAATCCCGCTGGGGATGTTGATAAGACCTAGGCGAGGTGGAAGCTGCAGTCCACTTTGGATGAGAACAACCTTTGTGAAAACAAGGCTATGTGGCATTCAATGGAAAGCATCAGCTCTACTTATATAATTGTGTGAAAAATCAACTACCAGTCCTTCATCACCTTAAACGAAATAGGGTGAATACAACTCATATAGGGTGACTTAGAAAGCATTTCGCATACCTCGTGGCGGCATCACTCTCTGTACCATTTGACGGCAGTGGTGGGGCCCAGTTGAGAGGACGTAAATGGAACTGATAGGGCTTACCGAGTTCCGGGACAATTAGAGTCGACGGGGAAAGTAAAGATTATAACTGGAGGGTAGTGTGGAACTTTTATCGGATAGGAGTGCATTTCACTCTTCTAAATCAAATAAACTTGTTGAAGTAATTAGATTATCTGATCGATTGCATGAAGAAATAAAAACTAGTATTAAGTTGGAAGTTACACTTTATTTTTATCAAATACTCACGCCAAAGCATTCTGAATAGCTGTCGCAATAATCTAAGTGTTATGAAAGCCGATAAAAGTGGAATAGTGGTAGTCATTGTTAAGGTTAAATAATGTAGAAAAAATGCATGTTCTTTCAAATGATATTGACACAAATATGTCTTTAATGAAAGATCCAGCTGAGAGAATTAAAACGACACTGAAGGATGCCCTTAAGGTGTGCTTTAGTAAAGGTGAAATGGACAAGTGGAAGACGAATTCAGTACTTCAGGGAGACACAAGGGCCCTCACAGCTTACGATATCCCTAAGGCTCACAAAGTGGGTGTCCCTCTTACATTACTTGTAAATAATAAAGGAAACGTGCTTTGTAAAATCTCACTACGAAAGGCTGTAGATTATTGGCTATTTCCAGTCAGGAATTCTTATGCGTTTGTACAATTTATTGATAAGCAGCTACTTTCAGAGGAAGATAGGCTAGTAAGTTTTGATATTTTGTTTATCTACACAAACATATCTGTTAAAGGAGTTATTGATGCTCTAGTACAAACTTTGGAGGAGTATCCAGAAGCCAAACAAGTTTAGGATCCACACAGATCCACGAATAGCACTTATTTTATGAACAGACACAAAGACTTGCGATGGGATCTTGCTTAGCTCCAATTTTGGCGAACAATTATATGGCAAAAATTGAGAAACACTTTTTGGAAAAGGAAATACCAACCTCCAAATTGTTGGTTAGACACATGGATGACTATTTTGTCATTTGGCCTCATGGTAAGGAAAGGTTGGTTACTTATTTTTACTTGGCCAATGTGAAGGGAACATTAGTTTCACACTAGAAATAGACGAGAATAAGTGCTTATCCTTTTTTTATATGTTCTGATCATTAGAGAAGAGGGAAGCCGACGTATGTTGGTTATTTTCTTAATTTTATCTCCAACCCTAGTTGCCAAACTAAGGTAAGAATTGTGAATTCAATCAAAATTAGGAGTATGTGACTAAACGACTGAAACCAATTGACTGCAGAGTGGGAACGGATAAAAGTTTTATTCCTGAAAAACAATTATCCTCTGGGTCTAATTGATAGTAATATCTTATTACTGAGGAATAAATTCTTAGACATAGACTATTTAACCAAAGATAGACCTTTTCTCATGTACTAATTTTGCCGTCATGTCTACTTTCTAAGATGGGCAAACTAGTGAGAAATTGGGAGATGAAAGCATTGTTCAAGGAAACCCTCACATTTTCTTCGGTTGTGCCATCCTTTAGAGACTCTCGAGATCCGGCTACTACTAGATTGTGAGCTCCTGTGGTCGACCTTATGCTGATGAGACATACTGTTCTATTCGACAAAGATTGGGGAAACATAAAAATGTAAAAAAACGATCACAAGTGCCGGACCCATGCCAGAGACTAGACATTAGATTAGATGTTGTCAAACGAGTAGCTTTGCCGATTATGCCACGTGTGCTCTTAAAAGGAGGATAAGAGAGGCTGTTAAAATTAATAGATTTTGGAATAGGTAGGATGTGACGAGATTCGGTAGGAAGTTGGGTAAAACTACTAATCACTACTACTATTACTACCACTGCTGCTACTAAGAACTAGTACGAATATTATGGAAGATGACACTGGAATAGGCACGTTCCACAAAGTCTCCCTGACACTCCGACTCAGTTGCGAAAATAAGGTCGAATCAAGACTACAAGAACTACTTTTGCTCGATTGAAGGATTGAGGGAGAGAAGGTCCGCTCATTGATGCTTGTAACTTGACTCATACTCGTCCAACGTGTTAGCTTACGCCCATCAACCAAACCAGACGTACCAGATTACCCAGCCCCAAACAAACTTTTGCTTGGCTGGTTAAACCTGTATGACCTTGGACTAAGAGTTGGTTTCGTAACTTGACTTGCACACTTACAAGCTTACATCTCAACCATACTTGGATACGGACTTGCGCAGTCTTGGTCAAGGCTTTCTCTTGGGCCATTAAGCTTTAATAAAG